CACAGAGACAATTTCAACCGAGAAGATGGATTCTATCTTAGCAATCATTGGAAAGATTTGATAAATCATTTCAGTTCTTGATTGATTGTTCACGCTTACAGTGGCTTTCAGACAGCATACATAAAAACAAATTTCGTCTCCCCCCTCCTCTTTTCAAAAAATAGATGGACTAGTCCTGGGCAAACTGCCAATCGTTGCGCGTGACGCAAACGTTATTTTTATATATATATATAAATAAATATGCCGTTTTCAAAATAAATTTATGCAAACCGACACACCTGATGATGACCGTTTGAGTTATGGTCGAAACGTCGTGAGAATTTTTTATTGTTTTATATATATTTTGTTGTTTCTCTTCAACGTGACTTTACCGAAAAAACGAAGAATATGAATTACTGCAGTCACGAAAGCTTTAAATCAAAATTTAATCGCCTCTATGGGGAGGGTTTTCACATAACTTTAAGATCCTTCAACAAACTCCGGGATAAGAAAGCTCAGCTGATCGAGTCTCTCACCTTCCTGAAGAGATGCCGCGACTCTGGGGTAATACCAATCGCATTTACACTCACCTCTGCTACTGTAACTTCTTCTAATGCGAAACGAATTCTTTTCAAAACTAGCTTAGCTCTTATCTCAGAAAAAAGCAGACTTATACGCACAGAACTAGATCAGTTAGACAAGACACTCTACAAATCACACTTATCATTGACGGCAATAATGTCCACATCGGATTGGGAACATGTAGACAATATGACTGCCTCTTCAGCTGCTACTATGTCGACCAAATGTAAGGAAAACCTGATTTCCAAATTTAACCTCCTCTTCAACAAAAGACCGGACCCACACACCAAAAAGTTAGACGTTAATAAAGTCGTAATTAATCGCAGTAACAGTTCTATTTCCGATGGTCTGAAATCCGTTTTAGCTAAAGGTCTAAACTTTGCAGTCACACCTAAACACATACCAGTTAATGATATAATTGCCCAAGTAGACGTTGCTCTCAGGGGCCTGGGTCACATCGCTGCAGACGTAGCAAGATCTGAAATCGCTGCAACCCTCAAAAACGCTAAGATGCCAGCTAGCAACCTCAGCAAAGATGAGCGTTTTGAATTATATAAATTAAAAAAGAGGAATGATATTGTAGTTCTCTCAGCTGACAAAGGCAATGCTACTGTCATCATGGATAAAATAGAATACAACAACAAAATTAAAGAATTACTCGACGATGGTAGTTATACAAAAATAAAAAGAGATCCCACCAACAGCCTCATCACACAAACCAACAAAATAATTTCTGATTCAACCGCATTAATTGATCAATCTAAACAGTTTTCGTTGAAACCTTCTGCTGCCAGGCCACCAAGATTATACGGCTTACCAAAAATACATAAAGTTGATACACCTCTTCGTCCCATAGTCTCTACTATCAGCTCCCCCACCTACAAACTAGCTCGTTTTTTGTCTGAAATCCTGCGTCCTTTCACCGGAAAGACCACCTCTGCGGTACAAAATTCTACTCACCTGGTATCAACAATCAAGGGTATTTCCCTGTCCCCAGACGACCTGCTTGTCAGTTTTGATGTAGTTTCCTTATTCACCAAGGTTCCTGTACCTGACACCATTGCAATCATTGAAGACTTGGTTCATCAAGGACTAAACACTGAGGTACCCCCCCTGGTGAGACACTGTTTAACCAATACATACTTCACTTGGAATGGAACTTTCTACAAACAAACTGAGGGCACCCCAATGGGCTCCCCCCTTTCTCCAGTTATAGCTAACATTTTCATGGAGAAATTTGAGACTGACGCCATCCAGACTGCCACTCTGCGCCCAACCTTATGGAAGAGGTACGTGGATGACACTTTTGTCATCTGGCCACATGGCCGGCCTGCTCTAGACCAATTCTTCGACCACATCAATTCCATACACCCAGCCATCAGATTTACCATGGAAGTCGAAATAGATGGCAAGATACCTTTTTTGGATGTCCTAATTAAAATAGACCTGATGGTTCAATGAGCCACTCTGTCTACAGGAAAGCTACCCATACGGATGCTTATCTGAAACCGGATTCCCACCACCATCCATCACAGAAGAATTCTCTCATCAAGACTCTGTATCATAGAGCCCAATGCATATCCGACCAGGAACACATAAGCAGTGAACTCAAGCACGTACACCAAGCTCTTAGGGCTAATGGTTACTCCGACTATACAATCCGCAAAGCTATCACTCAAACCATGAAGAAGAACCCTCTTGAGGAGCCTTTCAAAACCATCACTTTACCCTACATTGCTGGGATCAAAAAAAGATCTCCAAAATCTTGAATAAACACAAGATCCAGGTCCGTTTCAACACATTACATAAAATCCGTGATCTGGTTCCGTCTGTAAAAGATGTGATTCCGGACATACAATACCCTGGTGTCTACAAACTAAGTTGCCTCTGTGGTAGTAGTTACATTGGAGAAACCAAACGCCATATCTCGGACCGCATTTGTGAACATAAAGCAGACCTTAAACACGGTAGGACCAACACCTCGGCCGTAGCAGATCATTGTTCTAATTCAGTAGGCTCACATGCCATTGACTTTTCCAAGACGGAGGTTCTTTGTAAGCCATCTGGCTTCCATGAGAGATTCGTTCATGAGGCTATCCACATATACAAACACAGAGACAATTTCAACCGAGAAGATGGATTCTATCTTAGCAATCATTGGAAAGATTTGATAAATCATTTCAGTTCTTGATTGATTGTTCACGCTTACAGTGGCTTTCAGACAGCATACATAAAAACAAATTTCGTCTCCCCCCTCCTCTTTTCAAAAAATAGATGGACTAGTCCTGGGCAAACTGCCAATCGTTGTGCGTGACGCAAACGTTATTTTTTCTAAATATATAAATAAATAAATAAATATGCCGTTTTCTAAATAAATTTATGCAAACCGACACACCTGATGATGACCGTTTGAGTTATGGTCGAAACGTCGTGAGAATTTTTTTATTGTTTTATATATATTTTGTTGTTTCTCTTCAACGTGACTTTACCGAAAAAACTAAGAATATGCTCTAGAGGAGTTGTACACCCCTAGCTGCCACTGCTATGCATTGGCGTTAAATAAAATAAAATGTTTCGCTCCGGATGACGCTGCAAAGTATTATCTGTATTTTGATTTAGTGTGCTGATCTTAAAGGTGCATTGAAAAATTTGACACTCCGACCGATGCTTCTGTTGTTGTGGAGTAACTCATGCAGCCAGCGATGGCTCTAGGGTTTGGTGTTACATGTTATTTATGTAGTTTATTGTAAAAATTCGGTCACAGTCACTGTGATCACTGTTACGTTGCATTTATGGCTTTATTTTTTGGTGATTTGGAAAAGTTTTTTGGTTTGGACATGTTTGTTTTGTTGTAGTACGGAGTTAGACTGATGGCCTCAATCTAAGTTTTTGTGGTTGTTGTTTGACTTGCATCCCACTGGGATTTTTTGCACACAGCGTTGGTGTACGGTGCTTTTTTCAGGAATATTTTTGCTGGTTGTTTTTCCATGGATTTTCTGTTTGCACAGTCACATAGTCACTTTAAGATGCTTTTCTTGTTCGTGTTTTTGTTTGTTGTGGTTGCACCCGATTCAAGAGCCGAATGGCTCACAGGGCTATACCAAAATAAACTGAAACTGAACTGAAATAAACGTGTTGCCTCTAAGAAGTCTCTGCCTCCCTGGTGTGAACCACATACAGAGGGATAAATATGATGTCTTATAGAGGGTTAAATATGATGTCTTATAGAGGGATAAATATGATGTCTTATTGAGGGATAAATGTGATGTCTTATTGAGGGATAAATATGATGTCTTATAGAGGGATAAATATGATGTCTTATTGAGAGATAAATATGATGTCTTATAGAGGGATAAATATGATGTCTTATAGAGGGATAAATATGATGTCTTATAGAGGGATAAATATGATGTCTTATAGAGGGATAAATATGATGTCTTATAGAGGGATAAATATGATGTCTTATAGAGGGATAAATATGATGTCTTATAGAGGGATAAATATGATGTCTTATAGAGGGATAAATATGATGTCTTATTGAGGGATAAATATGATGTCTTATTGAGGGATAAATATGATGTCTTATTGAGGGATAAATATGATGTCTTATTGAGGGATAAATATGATGTCTTATAGAGGGATAAATATGATGTCTTATAGAGGGATAATATGATGTCTTATAGAGGGATAAATATGATGTCTTCACCTGCGAGCCAACCAGGTGCGAAGGCTTATTCGTATTCATATTAATATTTATATGAATAAATTTACAATGATATTAGCGCCATCCCACCACCTGTGCCAGTACCGTGTAGTACAACGTCAATGTACGAATCCCATCTCTTCGAAGGACGCCGCCTTAGGCGCGACCATACACGTTTAGTGATTTTGCGTGTTGTTGTTTTTAAGCGCTTCGCTTTCCTCTCCTCTACTTTGCACCTCTCGTCGTGTGTTTTTGTTGTTGTATTGTTTATTGTCGTTATAACGCTCTGAACCCGTGCCCTTACTCGGACGCCTGTGAAAAAAAGAGCTTCACAGCTCATCGGATTTATTCTTGCCGTCACGTGCCCTTGCCTCCAAGCCCACGTGACTGTCCCCCCCCCTAACTCCTCCTCCACTTCCCTCCCCCTCCTACACTGCCCCCCCCCCCCGCTGCCCCCTCCTCTCCCCCACTGCCCCCTCCCCCACTGCCCCCTCCCCCACTTCCCCCTCCCCCACTGCCCCCTCCTCCACTGCCCCCTCCTCCACTGCCCCCTCCTCCACTGCCTCCTCCCCTTCCCCCTCCCCCTGCTCCACTACCCCCTCCCCCACTGCCCCCTCCTCTCCCCCACTGCCCCCTCCCCCACTGCCCCCTCCCCCACTTCCCCCTCCTCTCCCCCACTGCCCCCTCCTCTCCCCCACTGCTCCCCTCCCCCACTACCCCCCCCCACGGCCCCCTCCTCCACTCCCTCCCGCTCGTGACCGGAAGAGCTCGGTCCGTTTCCGGGGTCACGGCGTGTGCAGCGCGCACTGTACAGCGGGGCCTCGCGTGGACGTCGTCGCTGCGGACAGTGCGCCTCACCCAGGTGCCATCGGCTCGCCTCCGCCACTCTCCCCTCGGCCGGCTTCGCGGGGATTATCGCGGGCGCTCTTATTGAGCCCGGCCTAAGTCTACGGCGGGATAATTCTGTCGAGAAAGTCTTTACGGCGGCGAGTGAGGGGTCGGAGGTGGACTTGGTGAGACTCTATTGGAATTCATTGATCGCGGCCGGACCGAACGGAGCATCGAGACGCGTTCAACTCTCGACGCGCATTGCTCGATCGCGTGCTCCCCCCTCTTCACCACCCCTCCTCCCTCTCTCCCTCCCTCCATCATCGGCCTCCGACCTGCTGCACCGCCGAGTTTCTTCACAGCGCCCGACGAGATCTCTACCTCGCCACTTCGCCGCCGACTCGGCCGCGTCGCCCCCGTCGATTTGAGTTCCCGACACCACCGTCGGGTCAGGTATAGAGCACCGAACGAGCTTGCCTCTGGCTGGGGGGGAGGGTGGTGGTGGTGGTGGTGTTTTTGTTTCGTGGGTCGGGAGAGCGAGTGGAAGAGAGACGACGTCGATAAGCGCGGACCGAAGCCGCGCAGCTGCCTAAGTGACTTTCCCTCGCTCACTGCGCGATACAGCTGCAGCAGCAGCCGCAGCAGGCCCCGGCAGCAGCCGCAGCAGCAGCAGCAGGCCCCGGCAGCAGCAGCAGGCCCTGGCAGCAGGACCCGCAGCAGCAGCAGCAGCAGGCCCCGGCAGCAGCAGCCGCAGCAGCAGCAGGCCCCGGCAGCGGCAGCAGCAGCAGCAGGCCCTGGCAGCAGCTGCAGCAGCAGGCCCCGGCAGCCGCAGCAGCAGCAGGCCCCGGCAGCAGCCGCAGCAGCTGCAGCAGCAGCAGGCCCCGGCAGCAGCAGCAGCAGGCCCCGGCAGCCGAGTGAGCCGCGCGGCTGCGATGTTCTTGCCCTGGCCGCCGCGGTGGTTACCGCGCCGTGGCCGAGCGTTTTGTTGTAGAGGTTCGCGGTTCGAAGCGGCGGCCGCCACGGTTAATTAATTATGCGGGTGTGTTGGCAATGCAAATGCCGTGCTATCACCGCTCCACACTACCCCCCGAAACCGCATACGAACATTTTCACACTTATAGTGGAGTAATGTGCATTTTTTCTCTTCCGGTTTGTGTGGTAGTGTGTGTTTAGCGCGAAGACTTAGGGGCTGCTGCGTTCACCGCCATGGGAGTTAAAAACAGACCAAGATGCTTCTTCGACATTGCCATAAACAACATTCCAGGTAATGAATGTAACAACGCGTAAGTCGGCACGTTTCACTTACCCGTGAGAGATACAACACCGCTTCTATTCGAACGGAATAAGCACCGAGCGACCTTCTTAGTCTTTGTATGGCGTCCTGTGGAGGTTGATTCGTTGGATCAGACGTCTGCATCTAGCTTCCGCCTCCTGTAGCTTGACGTGACTTGCGTGTGGCCAGGCCCACTCTGAAATCTCTCCCCTCTCATCTCTCAATCCCGATCTCGCTGTCTACATCAGCTCAAGCTTCCTGTAAACCACGTGACTTCCGAGTGGCCACGTCCACTCTGAACCCTGCCCATCTCCCCGCCCCCTGTGAAAACAGACTCCGCTCCTCCTTGCAGCAGCGTCGAGACCCATATGATGTAGCCTCTTCCTCACCTCACCTGACCCATTTGCTCATTTCTTCCGTTATCTTTCCTTAATTTGCCTCCAATTTCCCTTTCTCCTCTTTCCCGTTCCTGTTTCTTCAACCCGTGCATTATCTCCGTGAGCCTACTCCCCCTTCCCGCGGTGTAGCGGCCACGTGTACACCAATGGACGGGTGTCCGTGCGCGGACGAGTTGTTAAGTGACTGTGAAACTCTCTCCTCCCCGTGCGCAGCTGGCAGGATCGTCATGGAGCTGTTTTCCGACGTTTGCCCAAAAACCTGCGAAAACTTCCGCTGCCTTTGCACAGGTGAGCCGGGAGAGACGATCAGCGGCACCCGTCAACCTCTGCGTGCACGCGCATGCAGATGTTACACACTAAATGTGCGCGTGTTATACATTTTTATTTAAAGCTTTCGCGACTGCAGTGATTCATATTCTTGGTTCTTTCGGTAAAGTCACGTTGAAGGGAAACAATAAAATATTGTTATATATTTTATTATTTTATTGTTTCCCTTCAACGTGACTTTACCGAAAGAGCCAAGAATATTTCGATTTAAAGCTTTCGTGACTGCAAGGATTCATCTTCTTTGGTTCTTTCGGTAAAGTCACGTAGAATGAGAATAAAATAATAAATTGATAAAATAAAATAACACAATAATATTCTCACGACGTTTCGGCCACAACACAAGCGGCCTTCATCAGGTGAAGGGACGAGACTGTCTGGTAGGACATTCATTCTACGTGACTTTACCGAAAGAACCAAAGAAGAACAAAAAAAACCCAAGAATATGTGTTATAGATTGTTACATATTTTAAACAATAGTTTTTTATCCACTGCTGGATGAGGGCCTCTCCTGTGTCGCGCGAGCCGTGGTGGGGTGACGTTTGATGGCACGTCGCCATGTTGGGATGTTTAATATCCGCGTGTTAGATGCCCAAACGTCGCAGTGGCCGGGGTGACTGGGAACGTTGACCCGGCACAGCTGAGTATTCTGGGTACATATCCTAGTGCGGCCATGTGTGACAAAGAGACCCAAAGTGTCGCATAGAGACCCATAGATTCACGTAGACTAAGTTGTGATTAAACCTGGTTCTCAAGTCTAGTAGTGAGCTGAGGGTCCCAGCCCGGTCACCAGCGACTCTCAGAGACCCAGAGATTTGCAACGAGACCCATATACTCGCGTAGGCTGAGTTTAAAATAAACCGGCTTGTCAAGTGCAGTGAGTTGATGGTCTCAGTTGAGTCACCAGTGAATGCACAACAACAACAAAACCCTAATCAACAAGCCATGCTGGTTGGTGGGTGAAGGCGTAGAAGTACAGTACAGCAATTAATTTTGCTGCACTACCCTCTGTAACCCTATAGCCTTGAGAAACCTGCTGTGCAAGGTGTATGCCCATTGTCGCACACAGCTAACATTGGTGACGAATATATGCACCGGTCCTGGGATTCCCCTAGGTAGACTCGGCCTTAAATGAGTACATGATACGGTGTGTATAAAACATCAGCATGGGGAGACAACAGTGGCCGGGCGTCCCCCACGCGTGCCATGCCCACCCAAATAGGTGCTCGCTAACAGCACTTGCCCGAACAGTTTGTTAAAGGCCATACGTGGTGGGGGGGGATCTTTGTCTTTCTTGCAGGAGAACGAGGTGTGGGCAAAACAACACTGAAACCTCTGCATTACAAGGGAACTCCGTTTCATCGCATAGTCAAGGAATTCATGATCCAGGGCGGTGACTTCAGTGAAGGTGAGGACCTCCCGATGCCTTTGGCACAAGACAAGAGCTGTGAAGTCGAGTTTGTAGTTTTGCGGGATTCTAATCGATGTTTATGTGTGTGTGTGTTTAGGAAATGGCAAGGGCGGCGAGTCGATCTACGGAGGATTTTTCAACGGTGAGTTTCGTTTAAAAATTGACGGTTGCGTTCTTTGTTGAAAATTCAGTGCGCGCGACGGTTTGTTTATGAGCTGCTCCTCACTCGTCGCGGGTCGGTGACTCGGCCCCCGCTGACCACAGTCAAGTCAAGCGAGTGAACTTTTAAGAGGCAATAAAAACTGACGTCTCCTGCTGCCTGTGCCGCCGAGCCTCTGCTTACGCTTCTGTCACCCGGCACTTCAACATAAATAAGCAGACAGTACGTCTCACTTCACATATCTCCCTCCAGATACAAAAAACTTTTTCTTACACAAGCCATCAGCCGCACGCCACGGCCTTCCGAAAGTGCATCATGTCAAGCAGCATTGATTCATGACAAGACAAACTCGGCACCGCGTTCGACATTCGGCATCTCACCAGTTGAGTCGTTGGCCTTGCCCCAATCAACATCGGTGAACCGCCGGTGTAAGAGTGTTTGCGTTTCACATTCTGCCCGCTTCTGCGTGTCCTGCGCGTGTTTGTGCTTGGTCATCCGGGCCACCGCTCGGCCCCACCCATCACCCTGGATCATTCAGAGTTGGATTGTTCGATTTTTTTTTAAAGCGCGATTGTTTTAAAATAACGAGCGGCATTGTGTCGCACAACGTGGCCGTCGGCAGACGAGAGCTTTGCGGTGAAGCATGATGAGGACTTCCTCCTGTCGATGGCGAACCGTGGGAAAGACACCAACGGCTCGCAGTTCTTCATGTGAGTTCTTCCCGCGGCCCACGTTCACTGACGTGCACGAACACGTAGTAGGTCCATTATGACCGTGTTTTTTTTGTTCGTTCGGTTAGAGCGCGTAAACACAAATTTGTTGTTAAACCTGATCTAAATAAATAACCTTTTATTATGGATAATATTGTTCGCGAAAGCCTACTACTACTACTACGTGTTAAACTGACAGAGGTTGCCTGTTGAACGCGCTGTTGCGGCAAGCGCTATTATCGAGCGACGGAAGGCCGGAACGGCGTACCTATAAGGGGACGTGGTGTGGCCATGCACCACTCGCGGCCGCCTTTGTCTCCCCATTGCTGATGCATTTACACCAGGTGCTCATTTAAGGCTGTGTTGACGTAAGGGGCGGTTACGGAGACCAGTTCAGATATTCGCTGCCACCGATGTTAGCTGCGAGTGAGAATCGAAGTCGGGTAACCGGATTCGTTAGCGCAGTGCGCTAACCGCTGTACCACCTCTCCCCACTAACACCCACGCGCACTCCTGCACACTCATGCTCTCACATTAACAGACATTCATAGACCCCCCCCCCCCCCCGTGCTATGAGCTGAGCGAGCACCTATGAAGGCAGGCACGACACGTGGGGGGGGGGGGGGTGTCCAACATACACAACCTCGCAGACTCACAGTGGGTCAAAAATAAGCGGCTGGCGGTGTGGGGAAGGGGGCTTTCTAGCTTTCTAGGACTTCTATTAGCAGTGGCGTGAGCGGGCAATTGCAGGGCCGCACCTTTACCTCTTCATGATGCATGAGAACGACGATTGACCCGTTGGTTTGTGTTTTTTTTTTTTCGCCAGCACCACGCGGCCTACGCAGCATCTGGATGGGTGAGTCTCCCGTTTCACTCCCACTCCGCGCACTCTCATACCTACCGAGCCCTCCCCATCTCAACTCCCCTTGTCCCGCCGCTCCTCCCTGCCGACCCGGTCATTCTCCGTAACCGCCGAACCTTTCTGTGCGATGGCTGCTCGCAGGGTGCATGTGGTGTTCGGCAAGGTGGTGGCCGGGCAGGCGACCGTGCGGGAAATCGAGAGCCAGAAGACCGACCCCAACAGTCGCCCGTATGCCGACGTCCGCATCGTGAACTGTGGCGAGCTCGTCCTCAAGTCTAAGAGTAAGACAAAGGGGCCCCGTGTAGGCCTACGCGGACTGTTTGGGGCGAGGGGTTGCGCAACACACGTAGAACTAAATTAAACTAAAACTATGAGCTCAACTTTTTATTTTACCAGGTAAGGCTCCGCTGAGCGTTTGAGCTCTTTTTCAGAAGCGACCTGGCCACAAATTATAGCTCAAGGAGAAGTAGCTCATCATCACGTGGAAATTTATAGCAGCCAAAACCTCGAAAGCACATGTTGATTCTAAATGTGGAGGGAGAAACCGGAGGACACGGGAGAAAAATCCACGCGACCACGGGGAGAACATGCAAACAAAAGATCCACCCTGTAGCTCTAACAGACTGTTGGGAAGAGTGCTGTTCACGAGCACCTTTGAAGGCCGGCACGGCACACGAATGGGGCGGTGGGTGGCCAGCACCACGCCCGGCCAACTTTGTCTCCACGGCTGTGATGTTTACACACCGCACCCAGGTACTCCATTGAGGCCAAGGCGGATTAGATATTCATTGCCAACGTTGGTTGCAAGTGGTAATCGTGCTCTCGAGTGTTGCCGGGTTTGTGGCCCGGTGCTCTAACCACTGCGCCTCCGCTCCCCACGCACGCACAACTCGCAGCATCGCATTTCATTGTTGTTGTCATTTCCCTCCCATTATATGATCCTCATGGTGGTACCACGGGGTACCAAATAATACAAAAATGGCCGAGGCAATTAAGTATTTTATTTCAGGGACACTATTTTTTCCAGGGAGGTACTTCACTCCGCGACTGGGGTACCAATCAGTCCGAAATCAGTGCCACACTCCGCGATGTCGAAACGCAGCGAGGACCTGGACGCTCGTACGCACCGTACTGCATCGTGTACAGCTCGTCGAGATGAGTCGATTGACGCATCGCCGACCATCAACAGACTAAGAATGACTGCATCACGGACGTTATGCGAGAGTCGGCGTACTATGGTACCCCGGGGTACTGCCATAAGGTTCATATCCTGATTTCAAATGGATTTTGTTGAACCGGCTGAGAACTCAGGATACCGGGATAGAGCCTCATTTGCAAGAATGCCCTTAGGTGCTGCCACAGTGGTTTAATGGTCGGAGGGGGTGGCGTCGTCTCGTCTCATAGCCGCCCGAAACGCGACGTCGTTAACCGACGGATCTAACGCTCGTGGGGCGCCACACGGTGGCGAGATGTTAGTTACCTCGCCTTGTATGCAGGAAGTCGTGGGTTCCATTCCGACCCTGACGCCTGCTGCTGTATATTTGGAGTTTGCGTGTCTCTCAATCGCCCCGTGATCGCGTGCAATTTTCCCCGGGTCCTCCGGTTTTTCCCTCCACATTTGGAATCGACATCACGCGTTCAGAGCATTTGGCTGCAGTATAAATTTCCACGTGGTTAGCCACTTCGTTGAGCTATCATTTGTGATAGCCAGGTCGCTTCTGAAAAAGAGCTGTGTAGTTCAGTGGGGGGGGCCCTACCTGGTGAAATAAAAAAATAGTTTAGTTTAGCATCGGGGGAGCGTGACCACGGCGTCCATGCGTGTGCAAGGTTTGTTCTTGTCCTTTTTTGTTCAATGTTTTTAAATTCCTTTTAACACAGAGAAAAAGAAGAGGGTTACAGCGGCGGGCAGCGGCGAGGAGTCGCCCTCCTCGTCCGAGAGCTCGTCCAGCAGCTCCAGCGAGACCTCCTCCTCTTCGGACTCGAGCAGCGACAGCGACGAGGAGGCCACAAAGAGGAAGAGAAAGCGGAAGACCAAGAAACACAAATCTGCCAAGGGCAGAAAGGAGGGGAAACGCGAGAAGACGTAAGGACGCGGATGTGCAAGGCACTGGCCGGCATTGTAGGGCATCGCTAAGAGTCTAAGGACTATGGGACTCTGTGTGTGAGTCTATGGACTATAGGTCTCTGTGTGTGAGTCTATGGACTCTGGGTCTCTGTGTGTGAGTCTATGGACTACAGGTCTCTGTGTGTGAGTCTATGGACTATAGGTCTCTGTGTGTGAGTCTATGGACTATAGGTCTCTGTGTGAGTCTATGGGCTATAGGTCTCTGTGTGTGAGTCTATGGACTATAGGTCTCTGTGTGTGAGTCTATGGACTCTGGGTCTCTGTGTGTGAGTCTATGGACTCTGGGCCTCTATGTGTGAGTCTATGGACTACAGGTCTCTGTGTGTGAGTCTATGGACTATAGGTCTCTGTGTGTGAGTCTATGGACTATAGGTCTCTGTGTGAGTCTATGGGCTATAGGTCTCTGTGTGTGAGTCTATGGACTATAGGTCTCTGTGTGTGAGTCTATGGACTATAGGTCTCTGTGTGCTAGTCTAAGGACTATAGGTCTCTGTGTGAGTCTATGGACTATAGGTCTCTGTGTGGGAGTCTATGGACTATAGGTCTCTGTGAGTCTATGGACTATAGGTCTCTGTGTGAGTCTATGGACTATAGGTCTCTGTGTGTGAGTCTATGGACTCTGGGTCTCTGTGTGTGAGTCTATGGACTATAGGTCTCTGTGTGCTAGTCTAAGGACTATAGGTCTCTGTGTGAGTCTATGGACTATAGGTCTCTGTGTGGGAGTCTATGGACTATAGGTCTCTGTGAGTCTATGGACTATAGGTCTCTGTGTATGAGTCTAAGGACTATAGGTCTCTGTGTGTGAGTCTATGGACTATAGGTCTCTGTGTGAGTCTATGGACTATAGGTCTCTGTGTGCTAGTCTAAGGACTATAGGTCTCTGTGTGAGTCTATGGACTATAGGTCTCTGTGTGAGTCTATGGACTATAGGTCTCTGTGTGAGTCTATGGACTATGGGTCTCTGTGTGTGAGTCTATGGACTATGGGTCTCTGTGTGAGTCTATGGACTATAGGTCTCTGTGTGCGTGTCTATGGACTATAGGTCGCTGTGTGAGTCTAAGGACTATAGGTCTCTGTGTGTGAGTCTATGGACTATAGGTCTCTGTGTGTGAGTCTATGGACTATAGGTCTCTGTGTGCGAGTCTAAGGACTATGGGTCTCTGTGTGCGAGTCTATGGACTATAGGTCTCTGTGTGAGTCTATGGTCTATGGGTCTCTGTGTGAGTCTATGGACTATAGGTCTCTGTGTGAGTCTATGGACTATAGGTCTCTGTGTGAGTCTATGGACTATAGGTCTCTGTGTGAGTCTATGGTCTATGGGTCTCTGTGTGAGTCTATGGACTATAGGTCTCTGTGTGAGTCTATGGACTATAGGTCTCTGTGTGAGTCTATGGACTATAGGTCTCTGTGTGTGAGTCTATGGACTATGGGTCTCTGTGTGAGTCTATGGACTATAGGTCTCTGTGTGAGTCTATGGACTATAGGTCTCTGTGTGTGAGTCTATGGACTATAGGTCTCTGTGTGTGAGTCTATGGACTATAGGTCTCTGTGTGAGTCTCTGTATGAGTTGATGTACTAAGGGCCTCTGTGCGCGAGTCTAAGGACTTACACAGTGTCGCCACCCTGCCGCCATTGCTTACTGAGCTCTGCCACCACCACAGGAGCGAGCCAGAAGTGGCAGCCAAGGAGGCGGCGGCGGCGGCGGAGGTGAGCGCCCCCGAGCGCCACGACATTGAGAACGATGGAGCGGTGTCCTCGGTGCGGCCTGACGAGATCCCCACGGGGCCGTCCAACAGCTTCCTCATGCGGCGGAGCCCCCAGCGGACGGACGAGCAGAGGTAAGCGTGGGGGGCCCGGCCCCCCCCCCCCCCCCTCCGCCGTCACCCCCCGGGATGACCGTTAGTGCCGCCCTGGCTGCCCCCTGGTGGTCTCGCCCCCCGCCCCCCCCCCCCCTTCCCCCACCCTGTAGCCGTCCGCCACTCTTGAGGTTCATCTTCTTTGGTTCTTTCGGTAAAGTCACGTAGAATGAGAATAAAATAATAAAATAAAACAGTAAAATTCTCACGACGTTCACCTCTTGAGGTTGTCGCGGAAAGACATTCCGCGCGACGTCGTCATGACAAGGGGCAAGGGGGAGCCGGCCGTCGTCCACTGGACGGAGGTTCGATAGAGTGAACCTTCACGGATTTCTGTACCGGGGAAACGCTCAGCGATCTCTGGTGCCCCCCGCCCACCCCCCTCGACTTGGAAAAACGTACGAGGCTGCCGTGGTGTTGTGGTATCGCCGTGATGCCACCCATAGAGTCGCCGGTTCGATTCCATCTCCCGGCGCGGCGGTTGTAACGATGGGGCCGAGTTTCTTAGATCCCTCCCCCCCCCCCCACCGCCGCCGCCTCTGTCCACCCAGGAGTGTCAGTGGGTGGGGTAAAGTGTGGGTACGGCCACCCCTTCCAACCAAGACGTCTGCCCAACGTGGAAGGAGTGAACCCTAACGCCCTCTAGAGGGGGGAGCCTCTGTAGCTCCCTCGGGGTGTCACGGTGGCCAGGAGATGTTAACTACCTCGCCTGGTATACAGGAGGTCGTGGGTTCGATCCCGACCCTGACGCCTGCTGTATATTTGGAGTTTGCGTGTCTCTCTCTCATCATCACCGTGGCTAGGAGATGTTAACTACCTCGCCTGGTATACAGGAGGTCGTGGGTTCGATCCCGATCCTGATGCCTGCTGTATATTTGGAGTTTGCGGTGTCTCTCTCTCATCAGCATCACCGTGGCTAGGAGATGTTACAGTGAGGGAAAAAAGTATTTGATCCCCTGCTGATTTTTTACGTTTGCCCACTGACAAATAAATTATCAGTCTATAATTTTAATGGTAGGTTTATTTGAACAGTGAGAGACAGAATAACAACAAAAGAATCCAGAAAAACGCATGTCAAAAATTTTATTAATTGATTTGCATTTTAATGAGGGAAATAAGTATTTGACCCCCTCTCAATCAGAAAGATTTCTCTTAAAGGGAGTGCTCCTAATCTCAGCTTGTTACCTGTGTAAAAGGCACCTGTCCACAGAAGCAATCAATCAATCAGATTCCAAACTCTCCACCATGGCCAAGACCAAAGAGCTCTCCAAGGATGTCAGGGACAAGATTGTAGGCCTACACAAGGCTGATATGGGCTACAAGACCATTGCCAAGCAGCTTGGTGAGAAGGTGACAACAGTTGGTGCGATTATTCGCAAATGGAAGAAACACAAAAGAACTGTCAATCTCCCTCGGCCTGGGGCTCCATGCAACGTCTCACCTCGTGGAGTTGCAATGATCATGAGAACGGTGAGGAATCAGCCCAGAACTACACGGGAGGACCTTGTCAATGATCTCAAGGCAGCTGGGACCATAGTCACCAAGAAAACAATTGGTAACACACTACGCCGTGAAGGACTGAAATCCTGCAGCGCCCGCAAGGTCCCCCTGCTCAAGAAAGCACATATACATGCCCATCTGAAGTTTGCCAATGAACATCGGCAAACTTCAGATGATTCAGAGGACAACTGGGTGAAAGTGTTGTGGTCAGATGAGACCAAAATGTAGCTCTTTGGCATCAACTCAACTCGCCGTGTTTGGAGGAGGAGGAATGCTGCCTATGACCCCAAGAACACCATCCCCACCGTCAAACATGGAGGTGGAAACATTATGCTTTGGGGGTGTTTTCTGCTAAGGGGGCAGGACAACTTCACTGCATCAAAGGGACGTTGGACGGGGCCATGTACCATCAAATCTTGGGTGAGAACCTCCTTCCCTCAGCCAGGGCATTGAAAATGGGTCGTGGATGGGTATTCCCGCATGACAATGACCCAAAACACACGGCCAAGGCAACAAAGGAGTGGCTCAAGAAGAGTCACATTAAGGTCCTGGAGTGGCCTAGCCAGTCTCCAGACCGTAATCCCATAGAAAATCTGTGGAGGGAGCTGAAGGTTCGAGTTGTCAAACATCAGCCTCGAAACCTTAATGACTTGGAGAAGATCTGCAAAGAGGAGTGGGACAAAATCCCTGGTGGCCAACTACATGAAACGTCTGACCTCTGTGATTGCCAACAAGGGTTTTGCCACCAAGTACTAAGTCATGTTTTGTAGAGGGGTCAAATACTTATTTTCCTCATTAAAATGCAAATCAATTTATAACATTTTTGGCATGCGTTTTTTTTAATTTTGTTGTTGTTATTCTGTCTCTCACTGTTCAAATAAACCTACCATTAAAATCATAGACTGATCATTTCTTTGTCAGTGGGCAAACGTACAACATCAGCAGGGGATCAAATACTTTTTTTCCTCACTGTAATTACCTTGCGTGGTATGCAGGAAGTCGTGGGTTCGATCGCGACCCTTGACACCTGCTGTATATTTGGAGTTTGCGTCTCTCTCTCTCTCCCCGTGGTCGCGTGGATTTTTTCCGGTGTCCTCCGGTTTTGCCCTCTACGTTTAAATATTTTTAAGAGTATTTGGCTGATAGAAATGTCCACGTGATAATAAGCCCACCCCTTTGAGCTATCATTTGTGATAGCCAGGTTGCTTCTGAAAAAGAGCCACATAGCTCAGTCGACCATACATGGTAAGATAAACATAGTTTATAGTCACGTGGAAGGGTGGGTAAACAATTGTTTGACCACATCCTAATTTGTTTTCCGTGTGCATGTGCGATCTGTTTTGTTGCTCTGTGTCTGCACTGTGTGTGTGTTTCTGTGCACGTGCGTGCACTGTGTGTGTTTGTCTGTGCACTGTGTGTGTGTCTGTGCACTGTGTGTGTCTCTGTGCACTGTGTGTGTGTGTCTGTGCACTGTGTGTGTCTGTGTCTGTGCACTGTGTGTGTGTGTCTGCACTGTGTGTGTGTGTGTCTGTGCACTGTGTGTCTTTGCACTGTGCGTGTGTGTCTGTGCACTGTGTGTGTGTGTGTCTGTGCACTGTCTGTGTCTGTGCACTGTGTGTGTCTGTGCACTGTGTGTGTGTGTCCAGCAGCACCATGACAAACTCTGGCGCTGAGTATCCACGTCAGTGGAACCGGCCCAAGTACACGCGATCAGGTCGCAAGATCAAGGGACGCGGACCCATGGTGGGTAGTACTGCATCCTAGCCTTGTGAGGCTTGGAGACGCCGACATGCCACCGCTCGGACGCCGGCTTCCATTCCGCGTTTTAGATGCCGCTGCCCGTGATTAAACCGGGGTTCTCGGGTCCTGTCGTGAGTTTATTGTCTCGGCCCGGTCACCGCAGGCTCGCACAGAGACGCGTAGACTCGCACAGAGAGCCACAGACTCGCATGGACTGAATTGTGAGTCGACCGGGTTCCGATTAGCATGGTTGGCTGCATACACTGCGAAAGAAGTTCAGCCTACATACATGCAAACGCACAAAGCAGTTCTAAAGAAATTACTTTTCAGCTTAGATGCATAACATGTGACGGTGTTACAATCGCTGTAAAGCGCCTCGGATAAAACGCCGCTGCCGTGCAAATCTCGACATCGAGGTCAGATGTTTGGGCAGCACGAGGCCCGGACGACCGGCCACCGCCGGGCCCTCCCGCCCGTGTCCGCGCCTCGCGACGTCGCCGCTGACGCACCCCTCCTCCTCCTCCTCCTCGTCCTCGTTCCGCAGCGCTACCGCACGCCCTCGCGCTCGCGCTCCCGCTCGCGCGAGCGCGGCTCCCGCGGGGGCAGGCGCAGCGACACGCCGCCGCACTGGCGCGCCGAGCTGCAACGCCGGCGCCACAGCTGGCAGCTTCAGGGCAACCGGGAGCCGGGGAAGACGGAGCGGTGGAGCGCCGGCAGCGCGCTCGAGACGTAAGAGCCGGCTTCGCCCGTCGGGCCACCTCGGGTATTGTCGTTGGCGGGCGGGCGAGCGGGCGAGCGAGACGGGGATGATCGTTCGGCCTGCTTCATGACGCCGGCGGTGGTGAAGGCCTCGCCGCTGCACGTGGTCCGCCTGCGGTCCAGCATTGTGGAGGTGCGGAGGCAGCGGACGCGCAGCAAAGTGCAGGCCTAACCTCTCCACCTCACCCGTCACCTATGGGGTAGAGAGTTGCTCCGTCGCACATTTGTGGTTTGCTTTCCGGGTGCTCCGACTTCCCCCCCCATACGTATAGACACGTGTTAATTGGCCCTGTAGCACGTATATAGAGGACTGCAGAGCTTGGGGTGGAATTTTGCTGCCGGCTCCTTAGCGGCTGGTTGGCTGCTGCTGCCTTTCCTGCCTGTTGGTGGCTCCTCCTCCTCCCTCCCTCCTCCTCCCTCCTTCCCCCCTCCTCCGCCCCCTCCTCCTCCCTCCCTCCTCCCCTCCTCCTCATCCCCCCTCCCGAGTCGTCGTCGAGAGAAAGCGGACGAGCGACTCAACCCCGTGTGTGGCGTGCGCCGGCAGGCTAACCCATTTCGGACTGGCCTGGCCGCTCGCTCCCCACGTCGCGGCGCCTCACTCTCGTCCTTGCTGTCCGGCGCCATCAGCAGGGGCAAGGAGAGGCACAAGGAGAACCGCAACGACGAGGAGGACGTTGAGCGCAGGAAGAGGAGGAGGAGGAGGCACGGCGACGACGACGACGGCGGCGGCGGCCGGGAGGAGGAGGAGGAGGACCGGAAGAAACCGGCGGGCGACGAGGAGCCGGAGAGGAGGAGGAGGAGGAGGAGCGGCGGCAGGCGGGACGGCCGCCACCGCTCGGAGGACAAGGGAGGCAGCCGGGGGGGCGGCAGGGACGAGGAGAAGGAGGAGCGTAAAAGAGGAGGAGAAAGGAGGGGGAGCAGGAGGGGAGAGAGCCGAGGTGACGTGGGGGGGAATCACGAGGAGGCGAGGGGCGAGAAGAGGTCGAGGAACGCCGAGAGTGGGAAGGGGAAAGGGGAGGAGCGGGGGGGGGAGGAGGGGGGGGGAGGAGGAGGGGGGGGAGGAGGTGAGGGACGGGAAGAGGAGGGAGAGGGCGGAGGGGGCACAGCGCGACCACGCGGGGGAGGGCAGGGGGGAGGGCAGGGGGGAGGGCAGGGGGGAGGGCAGGGGGGAGGGCAGGGGAGAGGGCAGGGGGGAGGGCAGGGGGGAGGGCAGGGGGGAGGGCAGGGGGGGAGGGCAGGGGGGAGGGCAGGGGGGAGGGCAGGGGGAGAAGAAGTCGCGTCACGAGGAGAGGAGGAGAGAGGGCAGGGGAGAGGGCAGGGGGGAGAAGCGAGAGGGGAGGGGAGAGAAGGGAGAGGGCAAGGGAGAGGGGAAGGGAGAGGGCAAGGGAGAGAAGGGAGAGGGGAAAGTTGAGAAGGGAGAGGGCAGAGGAGAGAGGCGAGAGGGGAGGGGGGAGAAGCGAGAGGGGAGGGGAGAGAAGGGAGAGGGCAAGGGAGAGGGCAAGGGAGAGAAGGGAGAGGGCAAGGGAGAGAAAGGAGAGGGCAAGGGAGAGGGCAGGGGAGAGGGCAAGGGAGAGGGGAGGGGAGAGGGCATGGGAGAGAAGGGAGAGGGCAAGGGAGAGGGGAGGGGAGAGGGCAAGGGAGAGAAGGGAGAGGGCAAGGGAGAGAAAGGAGAGGGCAAGGGAGAGAAGGGAGAGGGCAAGGGAGAGAAAGGAGAGGGCAAGGGAGAGGGCAAGGGAGAGGGGAGGGGAGAGGGCAAGGGAGAGAAGGGAGAGGGCAAGGGAGAGGGGAGGGGAGAGGGCAAGGGAGAGAAGGGAGAGGGCAAGGGAGAGAAAGGAGAGGGCAAGGGAGAGAAGGGAGAGGGCAAGGGAGAGAAAGGAGAGGGCAAGGGAGAGGGCAAGGGAGAGGGGAGGGGAGAGGGCAAGGGAGAGAAGGGAGAGGGGAGGGGAGAGAAGGGAGAGGGCAAGGGAGAGGGGAGGGGAGAGGGCAGGGGAGAGGGCAAGGGAGAGGGCAAGGGAGAGGTGGAAGAGGGGAGGGGAGAGCGGAAGGGAGAGGGCAGGGGACGGGACAAGGAGCACAGGGAGAGACCGGGACGAGGCAGGAGCAGGTCCGAGGACCGGGAAGACGCTGCAAGAGGACAGCGGGGAGAACAGAGGGCGGACCGCGTGGAGCGGGACGGGCGGGGGGGCGGTAGCGAGGACAGGAGGGGGGGCGACGGAAGGGAGCAGCAGCGCAGGAGGGGGGCGAGCACCGAGGGCAAGGCGGGCGAGGGGCGAGCGCACGGCCGAGACGGGGCCGGAACGGAGGGCGACGCTGCCCCTGACGGGAAGGGGGAGGAGAGGCAGGGGTGAGGAGGAGGAGGAGGCAGGGGTGAGGAGGCGGAGGCGAGGAGGAGGCAGGGGTGAGGAGGAGGAGGCGAGGAGGAGGAGGTGGGGGTGAGGAGGCCTCCGAGAGCGCCCTGCGTGGGGGGGTGGAGGTGGAGGAGGTGGAGGGTGAAGCCGGTGAGGAGCTGGGCAGTGGAAATAAATAAAAAGAATGGTAAGCGGTTGCTGACAAAGGCCTGGAGATACCAAGCGGCCGGCAAAACAACAAAATGCACCGTCAACGTCGCCGTCGGCGTGAGTTCACGCTGTGTCCCGTGTTGAGCGAGGTTGTTGTAGGGGGGGGAGGGGGGGGGGGAGTTGGGGGGGGCGTCTGCCGCCTGCTGACCCCCTGAGGGCCGCCAGCGCTGGGGCGGGGCGGAGGAAGGGAGCCGACGGCCTCCATGGCCCGGCGGCTCCCGTCGTGGCGTCGCGCTCGCTTGCCCGCTCCGGCCCGCGTGTGTGCCAGGTGGGCGGTGGGTGACCGTCGTGGCCGCCGGCCCGCTGTCTCTGCTCCGGAGCTAATGCGGCACTTTGAGCCACTGTTACAACGACGACGATGACCAAACCGCACCCACCCCCCGCGCCTCACCAGGTTATTGTCTTTGCGCAAAAATATTAAACGGTGGCGTTCGAATCAAATCATCGGGTTAGGTTGGTACGTCGTGAACGTGCGGTCGGGCTTGAGAAGGTTAATGTGAGCAGTTATTCAAGTTAATCCTGACGTAGTAGCCTCTTGTCCTAGTATAAGTCTGTCGTTGGCTTAAAATGTAGACTTGTTTTCGTTTGGTTTGACCATTTGCGTTTGTTTAGTGCTAGTAACTGGTGGTTGGCGCGCTGCGCTACGAACCTGGCGACAAGGGTTCGGTTCCCGCTCACGACCAATAACAGTTGGCGGTCCTGGGTCTCCCCTAGGTCGACTCAGCCTTAAAAATGAGTACTGTGGTGCGTAGTGTGTAAAAATACATCAGCGCTGAAGGGGGTGGGGGGGGCGGTGGAGAGACAAAGACGGCTGGGCGTCGTGCTGGCCTGGCCGCCCCCCCCGCGTGCCGTGCCGACCATCATCGGTGCTCGTTGACAGCACTTGACCCAACAGACTGTTAAGGCTATACGGGGGGGGATCTTTTGTCTTTACAGCAGAAGTTCAGTTCAAGCAAATTGTGTCGAGATGCAAGGTGCTGAGACGAGAAAGCCAGCCCCCCCTTTTGTGTTAGCGTGCCGGCCCCCCCTTTTGTCTTAGCGTGCCGGCCCGGCTAGTGACGCGCGCGTAAGCTCAAGAACCTCTCTCTCTCGCGCGCGTGAAACCTCCGCTCCGTTGTGTTTGTAACTGTACATAATGTATACTGTTGTATTTTTATCCTGTGAAAATGGTAACGTGCAGTAGGGGCAAGTACGTCTCTACGTGCGCGGGTGTTTTTTTTCCTCTCTTCTGATTTTCCGGGTAAGCGGTCTTGTTTTTACGTCTTGGTGGTGGGTGGGGGGAAAGTTTGTACGTGAAACGTGATCCCACGTGCCCGACGTCCGTGCTTGCCCCGCGTTCCCTGGATTGTCAGACGCCACGGAGTAAGGCGAGCCACAGAGTCGTGGTCGGCGCCGGGACGTGTGGTGACGCAGGGGTGTCCGCTCGCTCCTCGCAAGCACGAAAAAAGGGCCCTCTGTGTGCGGTTTGTTCACGGCGGGCAAATACTATAAGCGTGTGGCGTTCATTCTGGATGCGGAGGGGGAAAAAAAAAGAACGGGGGGACCCGGAGATTAAATGCACGCGACCGCGGCGAGAGGGGCAGAGGAGAGAGACGCAAACTCCTCCAAATAGAGAGCAGGCGCCAGGCTAGGGATCGAACCCACATCCTCCTCCATACCAGGCGAGGTAGTTAACATCTCCTAGGCCACCGTGGCGTCAGGGTCAGGATCGAAGCCACGACCGCCTGTTTGCCAGGCGAGGTAGTTAACATCTTCACCACCGCGGTGGTGAAGATGATTTCCTGGGTAAACGTGCACATCGTGCGGAGTAAACACCGGAGGTGGCGGGGGAGGGGGCAACTGCGTCGTGTCCGCGTGGGTACACGTCGCGTGTTGCGTCATCCACGTGGGTATACGTCGCGTGTTGCGTCATCCACGTGGGTACACGTCGCGTGTTGCGTCATCCACGTGGGTACACGTCGCGTGTTGCGTCATCCACGTGGGTAAAGTCGCGTGTTGCGTCATCCACGTGGGTACACGTCGCGTGTTGCGTCATCCACGTAGGTAAAGTCGCGTGTTGCGTCGTCCACGTGGGTACACGTCGCGTGTTGCGTCATCCACGTGGGTAAAGTCGCGTGTTGCGTCATCCACGTGGGTAAAGTCGCGTGTTGCGTCGTCCACGTGGGTACACGTCGCGTGTTGCGTCATCCACGTGGGTACACGTCGCGTGTTGCGTCATCCACGTGGGTAAAGTCGCGTGTTGCGTCATCCACGTGGGTACACGTCGCGTGTTGCGTCATCCACGTGGGTAAAGTCGCGTGTTGCGTCATCCACGTGGGTACACGTCGCGTGTTACGTCGTCCGCGTGGGTAAAGTCGCGTGTTGCGTCATCCACGTGGGTACACGTTGCGTGTTACGTCATCCGCGTGGGTACACGTCGCGTGTTGCGTCATCCACGTGGGTACACGTCGCGTGTTGCGTCATCCACGTCGGTACACGTCGCGTGTTGCGTCGTCCACGTGGGTAAAGTCGCGTGTTGTCCGGCGGTCACACGGGGAGGGGCACGGAGGCCATGTGCACACCGCAGCGTCGGCAAAAACGGAATGCTTGAAAATTCTAGGTTCGTTTGAAGAGGGGAGTTTGTGTTTTTAATTAATTTTATGATAATAAAACGTCATAAAAAACCCCGCAAGGAAGTTGCACGCATGCGTTCGTTGTGAGTGTTCGCGCAGGAATGCGACGCCGATGCCGAAGTCCTCAGTTCTCAGGACGGAGTCCCTGCTACGTTGGGATGGTATTTGGCCAATGCCAGGGCTACGTTGTGTGGCCTTTGGGAAGAGACCGGGCAAGCCCTGGGGAATACACTCCACGCGGTACAGGGGCTGGGGGAGAACTTGTCTCCGTTTCCACACGGAGAGAGGGGAACCAGAGTCCGGAATCTTTCCCCGGAGACTTTTCTTGCTGTGCGGCACAAGTGTGTCATACCACTGCGCCACTCGGCACGCCGCGGTTCGGTATGCGGCGTTTTTTTAAAACTACGGGCGGCTCCTCGGACCTATGTCGGGTTTACGTTCCTCGTAAAGGTTGCCGTTAAGTCGAAACTACGTAAGTCGAGACCAGGGGCGGAGCTACAGGGGGGGCTGGGGCTCAGCCCCCCTCTGAAATTTTTGGAAAGTCGGTAATCGGGATAACCGGATATCCGGCTGATGCAAAATGCTGGCTGCCACCTCGTGCTGCCCTGCAGGCTGCCACCTTGTGTGATGCCCTGCAGGCTGCCACCTCGTGCTGCCACCTTGTGCTGCCCTGCAGGCTGCCACCTTGTGCTGCCCTGCAGGCTGCCACCTTGCGTGCTGCCCTGCAGGCTGCCACCTTGTGTGCTGCCCTGCAGGCTGCCACCTTGCGTGCTGCCCTGCAGGCTGCTGCCACCTTGTGTGCTGCCCTGCAGGCTGCCACCTTGTGCTGCCACCTTGTGTGCTGCCCTGCAGGCTGCTTGAGCGGCAGCCTTTCGAACTTATCGAACTTATTAGCCACATCGGCGGCTCCGACCTATTAATAAACTCCGCGTTCAAATCCAATAAAATTAGTTTTATACATTTGTGGCGCCCATTGGAAAACAAACACACTGGATATCTCAGAATATTGAAGTCAGCCCCCCCACGGGCGACGTGAGTCCGGATCGACGACGCAAATCCGAACAGCACTTAAGTGGAGGACCGCCTGGCACGAGAAAAACAAAACGTCAAGCCACCATCCACTGTTCCGCACCCACCACCCACCCTCCCCTCCCATCTCCACCACCCAAATACCAACTACCCTCCCATCCACTGGTCTGCACCCATCCACCCACCACCCACCCTCCACTGGTCTGCACCCACCCACCACCCACCCACCAACCCTCCCATCTCCACCACCCACCGTCCCCACGGCGACTTGGTCCATCCCACAGTGCTCTCTTGAGGACGCGCTGACTTCCGCATTTCCGAACGAAGAAGACCTCGCTAGCAGGGGACTCGTCACTCGTCACACGCGCGCGCACCAAGGTGAGTTGGGTGGGAGGGGGTGAGTTGGGTGGGAGGGGGTGAGTTTGGTGGGAGGGGGTGAGTTTGGTGGGAGGGTGAGTTGGGTGGGAGGGGGTGAGTTGGGTGGGAGGGTGAGTTGGTGGGAGGGTGAGTTGGGTGGGAGGGGGTGAGTTGGGTGGGAGGGTGAGTTGAGTGGGAGGGTGAGTTGGGTGGGGGGGGAGGGTGAGTTGGGTGGGGGGGGGGGTGAGTTGGGTGGGAGGGGGTGAGTTGGGTGGGAGGGGGTGAGTTGGGTGGGAGGGTGAGTTGGGTGAGAGGGTGAGTTGGGTGGGAGGGTGAGTTGGGTGGGAGGGGTGAGTTGGGTGGGAGGGGGTGAGTTGGGTGGGAGGGGGTGTGAGTTGGGTGGGAGGGGGTGAGTTGGGTGGGAGGGGGTGAGTTTGGTGGGAGGGGGTGAGTTTGGTGGGAGGGGGTGAGTTTGGTGGGAGGGGGTGAGTTGGGTGGGAGGGTGAGTTGGGTGGGGGGGTGAGTTGGGTGGGAGGGTGAGTTGGGTGGGAGGGGGTGAGTTTGGTGGGAGGGTGAGTTGGGTGGGAGGGCGTGAGTTGGGTGGGAGGGTGAGTTGGGTGGGAGGGTGAGTTGGGTGGGGGGGGGGGTGAATGGTTGAGAGAGTGAGTTGGGTGGGAGGGGTGAGTTGGGTGGGAGGGGGGTGAGTTGGGTGGGAGGGTGAGTTGGGTGGGAGGGTGAGTTGGGTGGGGGGGTGAGTTGGGTGGGGGGTGAGTTGGGTGGGGGGGGGGTGAGTTGGGTGGGGGGGGGAGAGTTGGGTGGGAGGGTGAGTTGGTTGAGAGAGTGAGTTGAGTGGGAGGGTGAGTTGGGTGGGGGGGGGGGTGAGTTGGGTGGGGGGGGGGGGTGAGTTGGGTGGGAGGGGGTGAGTTGGGTGGGAGGGTGAGTTGGTTGAGAGAGTGAGTTGAGTGGGAGGGTGAGTTGGGTGGGGGGGGGGGGGAGTTGGGTGGGAGGGGGTGAGTTGGGTGGGGGGGGGGTGAGTTGGGTGGGAGGGGTGAGTTGGGTGGGAGGGGGTGAGTTGGGTGGGAGGGGGTGTGAGTTGGGTGGGAGGGGGTGAGTGGGTGGGAGGGGGTGAGTTTGGTGGGAGGGTGAGTTGGGTGAGAGGGGGTGAGTTGGGTGGGAGGGGGTGAGTTGGGTGGGAGGGTGAGTTGGGTGGGGGGGGTGAGTTGGGTGGGAGGGGGTGTGAGTTGGGTGGGAGGGGGTGAGTTTGGTGGGAGGGTGAGTTGGGTGGGAGGGCGTGAGTTGGGTGGGAGGGTGAGTTGGGTGGGAGGGTGAGTTGGGTGGGGGGGGGGGTGAGTTGGGTGGGAGGGTGAGTTGGGTGGGAGGGTGAGTTGGGTGGGGGGGTGAGTTGGGTGGGAGGGTGAGTTGGGTGGGGGGGGGGGTGAGTTGGGTGGGAGGGGGTGAGTTGGGTGGGAGGGGGTGAGTTGGGTGGGAGGGTGAGTTGGGTGGGAGGGTGAGTTGGGTGGGAGGGGGTGAGTTGGGTGGGGGGGGGGGTGAGTTGGGTGGGAGGGGTGAGTTGGGTGGGAGGGGGTGAGTTGGGTGGGAGGGGGTGTGAGTTGGGTGGGAGGGGGTGAGTTGGGTGGGAGGGGGTGAGTTTGGTGGGAGGGTGAGTTGGGTGGGAGGGGGTGTGAGTTGGGTGGGAGGGGGTGAGTTTGGTGGGAGGGGGTGAGTTGGGTGGGAGGGTGAGTTGGGTGGGGGGGGGTGAGTTGGGTGGGAGGGTGAGTTGGGTGGGAGGGTGAGTTGGGTGGGGGGGGTGAGTTGGGTGGGAGGGGTGTGAGTTGGGTGGGACGGTGAGTTGGTTGAGAGAGTGAGTTTGGTGGGAGGCTGAGTTGGGTGGGAGGGCGTGAGTTGGGTGGGAGGGTGAGTTGGGTGGGGGGGGGGTGAGTTGGTTGAGAGAGTGAGTTGGGTGGGAGGGGTGAGTTGGGTGGGAGGGGGGTGAGTTGGGTGGGAGGGTGAGTTGGGTGGGGGGGTGAGTTGGGTGGGGGGTGAGTTGGGTGGGGGGGGGGGTGAGTTGGGTGGGGGGGGGTGAGTTGGGTGGGAGGGTGAGTTGGTTGAGAGAGTGAGTTGAGTGGGAGGGTGAGTTGGGTGGGGGGGGTGAGTTGGGTGGGAGGGGGTGAGTTGGTTGAGAGAGTGAGTTGGGTGGGAGGGGTGAGTTGGGTGGGAGGGGGGTGAGTTGGGTGGGAGGGTGAGTTGGGTGGGGGGTGAGTTGGGTGGGGGGGGGGGTGAGTTGGGTGGGGGGGGGGTGAGTTGGGTGGGAGGGTGAGTTGGTTGAGAGAGTGAGTGGGTGGGAGGGTGAGTTGAGTGGGAGGGTGAGTTGGGTGGGAGGGTGAGTTGGGTGGGAGGGGGTGTGAGTTGGGTGGGAGGGGGTGAGTTTGGTGGGAGGGTGAGTTGGGTGGGAGGGCGTGAGTTGGGTGGGAGGGTGAGTTGGGTGGGAGGGTGAGTTGGGTGGGGGGGGGTGAATTGGTTGAGAGAGTGAGTTGGGTGGGAGGGGTGAGTTGGGTGGGAGGGGGGTGAGTTGGGTGGGAGGGTGAGTTGGGTGGGAGGGTGAGTTGGGTGGGGGGGTGAGTTGGGTGGGGGTGAGTTGGGTGGGGGGGGGGTGAGTTGGGTGGGGGGGGTGAGTTGGGTGGGAGGGTGAGTTGGTGAGAGAGTGAGTTGAGTGGGAGGGTGAGTTGGGTGGGGGGGGGGGGGTGAGTTGGGTGGGAGGGGGTGAGTTGGGTGGGAGGGTGAGTTGGTTGAGAGAGTGAGTTGAGTGGGAGGGTGAGTTGGGTGGGGGGGGGGTGAGTTGGGTGGGAGGGGGTGAGTTGGGTGGGGGGGGGGGGGTGAGTTGGGTGGGAGGGGTGAGTTGGGTGGGAGGGGTGAGTTGGGTGGGAGGGGGTGAGTTGGGTGGGAGGGGGTGTGAGTTGGGTGGGAGGGGGTGAGTTGGGTGGGAGGGGGTGAGTTTGGTGGGAGGGTGAGTTGGGTGAGAGGGGGTGAGTTGGGTGGGAGGGGGTGAGTTGGGTGGGAGGGTGAGTTGGGTGGGGGGGGGTGAGTTGGGTGGGAGGGGGTGTGAGTTGGGTGGGAGGGGGTGAGTTTGGTGGGAGGGTGAGTTGGGTGGGAGGGCGTGAGTTGGGTGGGAGGGTGAGTTGGGTGGGAGGGTGAGTTGGGTGGGGGGGGGGGGTGAGTTGGGTGGGAGGGTGAGTTGGGTGGGAGGGTGAGTTGGGTGGGGGGGTGAGTTGGGTGGGAGGGTGAGTTGGGTGGGGGGGGGGGGTGAGTTGGGTGGGAGGGGGTGAGTTGGGTGGGAGGGGGTGAGTTGGGTGGGAGGGTGAGTTGGGTGGGAGGGTGAGTTGGGTGGGAGGGGGTGAGTTGGGTGGGGGGGGGGGGTGAGTTGGGTGGAGGGGTGAGTTGGGTGGGAGGGGGTGAGTTGGGTGGGGGGGGGTGTGAGTTGGGTGGGAGGGGGTGAGTTGGGTGGGAGGGGGTGAGTTTGGTGGGAGGGTGAGTTGGGTGGGAGGGGGTGTGAGTTGGGTGGGAGGGGGTGAGTTTGGTGGGAGGGGGTGAGTTGGGTGGGAGGGTGAGTTGGGTGGGGGGGGTGAGTTGGGTGGGAGGGTGAGTTGGGTGGGAGGGTGAGTTGGGTGGGGGGGGTGAGTTGGGTGGGAGGGTGAGTTGGGTGGGAGGGGGTGTGAGTTGGGTGGGACGGTGAGTTGGTTGAGAGAGTGAGTTTGGTGGGAGGCTGAGTTGGGTGGAAGGGCGTGAGTTGGGTGGGAGGGTGAGTTGGGTGGGGGGGGGGTGAGTTGGTTGAGAGAGTGAGTTGGGTGGGAGGGGTGAGTTGGGTGGGAGGGGGGTGAGTTGGGTGGGAGGGTGAGTTGGGTGGGGGGGTGAGTTGGGTGGGGGGTGAGTTGGGTGGGGGGGGGGGTGAGTTGGGTGGGGGGGGTGAGTTGGGTGGGAGGGTGAGTTGGTTGAGAGAGTGAGTTGAGTGGGAGGGTGAGTTGGGTGGGGGGGGTGAGTGGGTGGGAGGGGGTGAGTTGGTTGAGAGAGTGAGTTGGGTGGGAGGGGTGAGTTGGGTGGGAGGGGGGTGAGTTGGGTGGGAGGGTGAGTTGGGTGGGGGGTGAGTTGGGTGGGGGGGGGGGTGAGTTGGGTGGGGGGGGGGGTGAGTTGGGTGGGAGGGTGAGTTGGTTGAGAGAGTGAGTTGGGTGGGAGGGTGAGTTGAGTGGGAGGGTGAGTTGGGTGGGGGGGGGATGAGTTGGGTGGGGGGGGTGAGTTGGGTGGGGGGGTGAGTTGAGTGGTGGGGGTGAGTTGGGGGGGGGGTGAGTTGGGTGGGGGGGTGAGTTGGGTGGGGGGGGGTGAGTTGGGTGGGAGGGTGAGTTGGTTGAGAGAGTGAGTTGGGTGGGAGGGTGAGTTGGGTGGGAGGGTGAGTTGGGTGGGGGGGGGATGAGTTGGGTGGGGGGGGTGAGTTGGGTGGGGGGGTGAGTTGAGTGGTGGGGGTGAGTTGGGTGGGGGGGGGGTGAGTTGGGTGGGGGGGTGAGTTGGGTGGAGGGGGGTGAGTTGGGTGGAGGGGGTGAGTTGAGTGGGAGGGGGTGTGAGTTGGGTAGGAGGGGGTGAGTTTGGTGGGAGGGTGAGTTGGGTGAGAGGGGGTGAGTTGGGTGGGAGGGGGTGACTTGGGTGGGAGGGGGTGAGTTGGGTGGGAGGGTGAGTTGGGTGAGAGGGGGTGAGTTGGGTGGGAGGGTGAGTTGGGTGGGAGGGCGTGAGTTGGGTGGGAGGGTGAGTTGGGTGGGGGGGGGTGAGTTGGTTGAGAGAGTGAGTTGGGTGGGAGGGGTGAGTTGGGTGGGAGGGGGGTGAGTTGGGTGGGAGGGTGAGTTGGGTGGGAGGGTGAGTTGGGTGGGGGGGTGAGTTGGGTGGGGGGTGAGTTGGGTGGGGGGGGGGTGAGTTGGGTGGGGGGGGGTGAGTTGGGTGGGAGGGTGAGTTGGTTGAGAGAGTGAGTTGAGTGGGAGGGTGAGTTGGGTGGGGGGGGGGGTGAGTTGGGTGGGAGGGTGAGTTGGGTGGGAGGGGGTGTGTTGGGTGGGGGGGGGGTGAGTTGGGTGGAGGGGCGAGTTGGGTGGTGGGGGTGAGTTGGGTGGAGGGGCGAGTTGGGTGGTGGGGGTGAGTTGGGTGGGAGGGTGAGTTGGGTGGGGGGTGAGTTGGTTGAGAGAGTGAGTTGGGTGGAGGGGGTGAGTTGGGTGGGAGGGGTGAGTTGGGTGGGAGGGGGGTGAGTTGGGTGGGAGGGTGAGTTGGGTGGGAGGGTGAGTTGGGTGGGGGGGTGAGTTGGGTGGGGGGTGAGTTGGGTGGGGGGGGGGTGAGTTGGGTGGGAGGGTGAGTTGGTTGAGAGAGTGAGTTGAGTGGGGGGGTGAGTTGGGTGGGAGGGGGTGAGTTGGGTGGGAGGGGGTGAGTTGGGTGGGAGGGGGTGAGTTGGGTGGGGGGGGGGTGAGTTGGGTGGAGGGGCGAGTTGGGTGGTGGGGGTGAGTTGGGTGGAGGGGCGAGTTGGGTGGTGGGGGTGAGTTGGGTGGAGGGGCGAGTTGGGTGGTGGGGGTGAGTTTGGTGGGGGGGTGAGTTGGGTGGGGGGGTGACTTGGGTGGTGGGGGTGAGTTTGGTGGGGGGGTGAGCTTGGTGGGGGGGTGAGTTTGGTGGGGGGGTGAGTTTGGTGGAGGGGTGAGTTGGGTGGAGGGGTGAGTTGGGTGGTGGAGGTGAGTTGGGTGGGGGGTGACTTGGGTGGTGGGGGTGAGGTTGGTGGGGGGGTGAGTTGGGTGGGGGGGTGAGTTGGGTGGAGGGGTGAACACGCGAGGTGCAGTCTGCACTGCGCTTGTTGGAGAGCCAAGCCACAACATTTACAATCTTGAGTCCGACGTTTCGCCAGCAATCACAACCGGCTTCGTCAGGCGACAAGCCATATTTGTGGAGAAATCTTCCGACACACAATCGATGCGTCGGAGGTGGATTAGACAAACCTTTACTGGTTGGCTGTGTCGGGTGGTGGCGGTGTTTGACGACACATTTATACATTTGTAGTGGTCGACTTGACGCGGACAACTTTATTGTTTTCTCCGACACCACTTTTATTACAACTCTTCACATCACGTCTGTGACTCTTCACACTACGTCTGTGACTCCGTCATGCCGCTTAGCCGCAGCTAGCTCGCCGCCCGTCTCGCTCACTCTGCTTCCTCCCCTATCCCTCACTGTCACTCTGCGTCGTCCCTGTCTCTCTTCATCACTCGCTGTCTCACGCTGTATCCCTGTCTCTCTTAGTCGCTCGCTGTCTCTGTCTCTCTCCGTCGCTCGCTGTCTCTGTCTCTCTCCCGCTGTCTCTCTCACGCTGTATCTCTGTCTCTCTCTGTCTCACGTTATATCTGTCTCTCTCCCGCTGTCTGTCTCTCTCTGTCTCTGTCTCACGTTGTATCTCTGTCTCTCTCTGTCTCTGTCTCACGCTGTATCTCTCTCTCTCCCGCTGTATCTCTGTCTCACGCTGTCTCTGTCTCTCTCTGTCTCTGTCTCCCGCTGTATCTCTGTCTCTCTCCCGCTGTCTCTCTGTCTCTCTGTGTCTCTGTCTCACGCTGTATCTCTGTCTCTCTCCCGCTGTGTCTCTGTCTCTCGCTCTGTCTCTACCTCACTCCGTCTCTGCTTGTCTCTACTACTCTACTGCTAGCCTGTTCTGTCTCCGATGTCTTCGCTCCGCTTCTCCCCGACCTGCTTCGTTCTAGTCCCAGCGACAACAACTCCACTCGTTCTTCCCGTCTCACGAAATATACATCCCCGTTCTCATTACCAACCAATCAACTCGGCCGCGTGCCCCCGACGCCCCGCGTCCGCCCCCCCCCCCCCCCCCAGCACGTGTTACTTGCCCCCCTCTATTCCCAGACATCCCGGCTCCACTTCGCCCTTGACAGCAACCCCAGCCAATCACAGCCCTACATCGCTCCCCAGCTTAGTTGGCCCGTCAGAACCGCACAGGTTCACGCCGCCGCAACCTGGGCCGACCCAACGTGACCCCACCGTCCGTAACTCGCGCGTCTTGAACGTCCAACGTGTTAATCCGCCGCACATTTACGCGATCTTAACCCGCGACAACAACGAAACCCTGCGTTATGCTCAATGTCTCTCAGAGAGGCAGCCACCCAAGAAGAAATAAGCCCAGCTCAAGCTAAGAGCCACCAGCAGCAGCAGCAAGCCCTGCGTCTTGGATGATGTTGGTCGCGGCGGCAGCAGCTCTGCTGCGTGACAGACAGACAATGAGCACTGGGCAAGCGGCCTTCTCGCCAAACAGAGATGTCCCTTGCCTCTCTCGGTCTCGTGCTCGCTCTTTGTTCACGCGTAGAGCAACTCGGCCGTGCACCCCTGCAGAACGCGCGCAAAGTGACGCACGCACCACAAGTCACACACACACACAAAACAAGTCACACACACAAGTCACACACACACAACAAGTCATACACACACACACAAGTCACACACACAACAAGTCACACACACACGTCACCCACATACAACAAGTCACACACACACACAACAAGTCACACACACACAAGTCACACACACACACAAGTCACACACACACACACACAACAAGTCACTCACACACAACAAGTCACACACACACACAACAAGTCACACACACACACAACAAGTCACACACACACAACAAGTCACCCACACACAACAAGTCACACACACACAACAAGTCACACACACACACACAAGTCACACACACACACAACAAGTCACTCACACACAACAAGTCACTCACACACAACAAGTCACACACACACAACAAGTCACACACACACACAACAAGTCACACACACACGTCACCATCGCCCCTGACGTACCATTGGACTGTGGGCAGGACCTTTAGACTCCGCGACATCCACCGTGCCGCCACTGGGTCACGGCGTTGCTGGGACGCACAGTGGGGCTGTGTCTGTCGGTGTGACAGAGAACAGTCGGACAGAGGTGAAGGGAGTGAGTCTGTGAGTCTGTGTCTGTCTGTCGGTGTGACAGAGAACAGTCGGACAGAGGGAAGGGAGTGAGTCTGTGAGTCTGTGTCTGTCGGTGTGACAGAGAACAGTCGGACAGAGGGAAGGGAGTGAGTCTGTGAGTCTGTGTCTGTCTGTCGGTGTGACAGAGAAAAGTCGGACAGAGGTGAAGGGAGTGAGTCTGTGAGTCTGTGTCCGTGTGTGCTGGCAGATGGAAGGGAGTGAGACTGTGTCTCTCTGTCGGTGTGTGCGAGACAGCGCGTAGGGCTGTCAGAGGCGAAGGCAGCGATGTCGCCAGGAAGAGACGCTCCGCTCTCCGTCGGAGAGGGAGTGCGCATGATGTTTTACGCCCTCTCGCCGAACGAGTCCTCCTTCGAGACTCTGCACGAAGTCCCCAATTACGTGGCGCAGGTAACCCAGCCCGGAGGGCACAGGCAGGTGCCGCGCTGCGACTCGGAGAGCCTTTGAATCGCTCGAACTCCACTTTTTTTGTTTGCTTCATTGCCGCGTTGAACTTCGGTTCGTTTGCCTTGTTTTGTTTTGTGTTTGCCTTCGTCATTTCGGGTGAGAGCCGTCTGTGTGTGTTTGTGTGTTTGTGGTGTGGTCACTCGGCCTTGAACGAGACGATAATTCCCCTGTTTCACCCCCCACCTCCACACGGCAACCCCTGGGTGGCAGGTGGTGTCTGTGGCAAAGTGGCAGGTGGTGTTTGTGGCAAGGTGACAGGTGGTGTCTGTGGCAAGGTGGCAGGTGGTGTCTGTGGCAAGGTGGCAGGTGGTGTCTGTGGCAAGGTGGCAGGTGGTGTTTGTGGCAGGTGGTGTCTGTGGCAGGTGGTGTTTGTGGCAAGGTGGCAGGTGGTGTCTGTGGCAGGTGGTGTCTGTGGCAAGGTGGCAGGTGGTGTTTGTGGCAAGGTGGCAGGTGGTGTTTGTGGCAAGGTGGCAGGTGGTGTCTGTGGCAAGGTGACAGGTGGTGTTTGTGGCAAGGTGACTGGTGGTGTCTGTGGCAAGGTGGCAGGTGGTGTTTGTGGCAAGGTGGCAGGTGGTGTCTGTGGCAAGGTGACTGGTGGTGTCTGTGGCAAGGTGGCAGGTGGTGTTTGTGGCAAGGTGGCAGGTGGTGTCTGTGGCAAGGTGACAGGTGGTGTTTGTGGCAAGGTGGCAGGTGGTGTCTGTGGCAAGGTGACAGGTGGTGTCTGTGGCAAGGCGTAGGTGGCAGGTGGTGTCTGTGGCAAGGCGTAGGTGGCAGGCAGTCCCGTGGCATCTGCGCACTCACGTCCTCACCCTCCCGGGCGCGCCACGCGGGCCGGCGTGCGAGGACGCGGGAAGTCGCTCGCAGCCCAACGGAGCGCGCCGCTCGGCGCTGTCCGCGTGCCGCACGCAGGCGGTGCCGTACTTCTGGGCCATGATCCTGCTGGAGGTGACCCTGTGCTGGTACAAGGGCACCCGCCTGCCGCGCGTCAACGACACCGTGAGCTCCGTGTCGGCCGGCATGCTGTCCCAGCTCGCCAAGTGCGTCGCACGCCCCCTGCCAGCGACACCCGCCGATGGCAAACGGGGGACAAAAAGATGTCCCCCCGCCCCGCCCCGCCGCACACCCGGGTAGCCTCCGGACGGGCTGGGTGGAGGGGGGGGGGGCGCTGCTGTTAGCGAGCACCTGTGAAGGCGCACGAGAGGGGGGTGGGTGGCCGGCACCACGCCTGGCCGCCTTTGTATCACCCCAGTGGCGATGTTCACGCGCCGCACCGCGTACTCATTTGAGGTTGAGTCGACCTAGGGGACGCCCAGGGACCAGTTCAGATAATCGTCACCGGTGTTGGCCGTGAGTGGGAATCGAACTCGGGTCGCCGGGTTCGTAGCGCAGCGCGAGCACGCACACACGCACACACGCACACACGCACACGCACACACACACGCACACACGCACATTCACGGAGGGCTGCCACCTCTGAGATCAAAACACAACCGGGGACACCAATCATGGGCCAGGTCACATCCTTTGCAGTGTCGCCAAGCCGGGCCTGACACCGAACAGAACCGCACTTGCCCTTTTTTCCCACTTGTCGTGCACGGGGGCCGTGCCAGAGCCAGGCTAGAGCCAGCTCGGCACGCGTTGCTTCTCCACCGCGCATAACCGTGCCACGCCTCCGTGTCCTCACTTGCCCTGCTCGAGCCTCCCCCCAACCCCCGCCTCGCCGCGGCGCGCCCCCTTACCGTGCCGGCGGAAGGAAAACAAAAACCGTGCCTCGCTGGCACCCGTGCTGGCACGGCTTGCCCAGGCTGCGCTCCGCCTTCCGCTCCCAGGTTGCTGACGCGCAGCGTGGAGCTATCGGCGTTCATCTTCGTGCACGACCGCTACCGCGTCGCCTCGCTGCCCTGGGACTCGCCGCTCACCTGGGGCGTGACCTTCCTCGGGGTCGATCTCGGCTACTACTGGTTCCACCGTCTCGCGCACGGTGAGGGCGCCCGCGTGCCGAGGCGACGGGGAGGCGCGCCCGCCGACGTGAACGCCGCCGGCGCCGTGCACAGTCTCGGTGCGGGGCAATCGGCCGCGTTCTGTTTGGGCGACTCGGAGCCTCGGACGATCGGGCGGCGGTGGTCGGCGGTGGTCGGGTTTGACGGCACGCGCTTGCATCCGCGCGATCTCACCCGGCGTGGAACTGAAAAAGTCATGGCACACGTGGGCAAAGGCGCGTGGCGATCAAACGCCCAGGTCGCCACTGTCTTCCAGATTTTGTTTTTATTGGCGCAAACCTCCGGTCGGTGATGTCGACCGGGCGCCGTGACGCGATCGAATTGCAGCGCAGGCCGAGATCGGAATCTTGATCATTCGTCCTGTCCTGGAGGCATCCGATGAGCTGCGACCGTCTTTGTCTTCACAGATGTCCAGTAAGGGGCACCGCGGCGGGGGGGGGGGGGTCAGCGAGTTGTCTGTGTGTGTGTTTGTACATAATGTGTGTGTGTACGTAGTGTGTGTGTGTTTGTACACACGATAGTGTAGCGGTTAGCGCGCTGCGCTATGAACCTGGTGACCCGGGTTCGATTCCCGCTCACGGCCAACACCGGTGACGATTATCTGAACCGGTCCCGGGCCTCCCCTAGGTCGACTCAGCCTCAAATGAGTACCTGGTGCGGTGTGTAAACATCGCCACTAGGGAGACAAAGGCGGTCGGGCGTGGTGCTGGCCACCCACCTCCTCGTGTACCGTTCCGGCCTTCATAGGTGCTCGCTAACAGCACTTGTCCCTACAGTCTGTTACAGGCTATATGGGGGATCTTTGTCTTTGTTTGTACATAATGTGTGTGTGTGTACGTAGTGTGTGTGTAGCACAAGCGTCGTGGTGACGTCACCGCCACTTAGGGGCGAATGGCGGGTGTTGTTGTTGTTGTTTACACACGCTTTATATTTAACTTGCTCCGTCTGTTGTCGTTGTTGTTGTATCCTCAAATCTTGTAACGTAATTTTAACCCACTTGCCAATCTGGTATCGACTGCAAAACTTGGTATACTTATGTCATACTGACGACAATACGATATTCTATTAAAAACAAATATTTTAAACAATTTTTTTTATGTTAAGTTTCGGCTTGGGTCTAATTGTCCACGCTCAACTGACGTTGGCTGTAAATCGCCACGGGCCCCTTACGTTATGGCAAGCTTTGCGGCCACTTCATATAGTCGTGGAGTTCTGCCATTACGAGTACGGTACATTTCATTAAAGCGTGTTTTAAAACAAGTATTTTTAAATATATTTTTTTTATTTGAAATAGCCGGCCGGTTCTCGCGTGTGACGCAAGGCCCACAAGGAGCGGACTCCATCGCTCCATCTCTCTGTCTCCCTCCCTCCCCTCCCCGTTCTCGCGCAGAGGTCAACGTGATGTGGGCAGCTCACCAAGTCCACCACAGCTCCGAGTACTACAACCTGTCCACAGCGCTACGGCAGTCCGTCGTGCAGCCGTACACGTCCTGGGTGTGTGTGCAGTGTGACACTCCACCTACAACACCTGTGTGTGTGTGTGATAGTCACCTGTGTGTGTGTGTGATAGTCACCTGTGTGTGTGATAGTCACCTGTGTGTGTGCAGTGTGTGATAGTCACCTGTGTGTGTGTGTGATAGTCACCTGTGTGTGTGTGTGTGATAGTCACCTGTGTGTGTGTGATAGTCACCTGTGTGTGTGTGCAGTGTGACACTCCACCAACAACACCTGTGTGTGTGTAGTGTGTGATAGTCACCTGTGTGTGTGTGTAGTGTGTGATAGTCACCTGTGTGTGTGTGGTGTGATAGTCACCTGTGTGTGTGTGTGATAGTCACATGTGTGTGTGCAGTGTGACACTCCACCTACAACACCTGTGTGTGTGTGTGATAGTCACCTGTGTGTGTGTGTAGTGTGATAGTCACCTGTGTGTGTGTGTAGTGTGACACTCCACCTACAACACCTGTGTGTGTGTGTGTGATAGTCACCTGTGTGTGTGTGTGTAGTGTGATAGTCACCTGTGTGTGTGTGTAGTGTGACACTCCACCTACAACACCTGTGTGTGTGGTGTGTGATAGTCACCTGTGTGTGTGTGTGATAGTCACCTGTGTGTGTGTGATAGTCACCTGTGTGTGTGTGTAGTGTGTGATAGTCACCTGTGTGTGTGCAGTGTGACACTCCACCTACAACACCTGTGTGTGTGATAGTCACCTGTGTGTGTGTGATAGTCACCTGTGTGTGTGTAGTGTGTGATAGTCACCTGTGTGTGTGTGCAGTGTGACACTCCACCTACAACACCTGTGTGTGTGTGTGTGATAGTCACCTGTGTATGTGTGTAGTGGGTGATAGTCACCTGTGTGTGTGTGCAGTGTGACACTCCACCTACAACACCTGTGTGTGTGTGATAGTCACCTGTGTGTGTGCAGTGTGACACTCCACCTACAACACCTGTGTGTGTGTGTGAGGTGTGTGATAGTCACCTGTGTGTGTGTGACACTCCACCTACAACACCTGTGTGTGTGTGTGTAGTGTGTGATAGTCACCTGTGTGTGTGTGTGTGATAGTCACCTGTGTGTGTGTAGTGTGATAGTCACCTGTGTGTGTGTGTAGTGTGATAGTCACCTGTGTGTGTGTGGTAGTCACCTGTGTGTGTGCAGTGTGAGACTCCACCTACAACACCTGTGTGTGTGTAGTGTGTGATAGTCATCTGTGTGTGTGTCTGGTGTGATAGTCACCTGTGTGTGTGTGTAGTGTGATAGTCACCTGTGTGTGTAGTGTGTGTAGTGTGTGATAGTCACCTGTGTGTGTGTGTAGTGTGTGATAGTCACCTGTGTGTGTGGTGTGATAGTCACCTGTGTGTGTGGTGTGTGATAGTCACCTGTGTGTGTAGTGTGTGTAGTGTGTGTGATAGTCACCTGTGTGTGTGTAGTGTGTGATAGTCACCTGTGTGTGTGTGTGTGGTGTGTCATAGTCACCTGTGTGTGTGTGTAGTGTGATAGTCACCTGTGTGTGTAGTGTGTGTAGTGTGTGTGATAGTCACCTGTGTGTGTGTAGTGTGTGATAGTCACCTGTGTGTGTGTGTGATAGTCACCTCTGTGTGTGGTGTGATAGTCACCTGTGTGTGTGTAGTGTGATAGTCACCTGTGTGTGTGTAGTGTGATAGTCACCTGTGTGTGTGTAGTGTGATAGTCACCTGTGTGTGTGTGTAGTGTGATAGTCACCTGTGTGTGTGTGTGTGTGATAGTCACCTGTGTGTGTGTGTAGTGTGTGATAGTCACCTGTGTGTGTGTAGTGTGATAGTCACCTGTGTGTGTGTCTGGTGTGATAGTCAGCTGTGTGTGTAGTATGTGATAGTCACCTGTGTGTGTGTGTGTAGTGTGATAGTCACCTGTGTGTGTGGTGTGATAGTCACCTGTGTGTGTGTGTGGTGTGATAGTCACCTGTGTGTGTGGTGTGATAGTCACCTGTGTGTGTGTGTGGTGTGATAGTCACCTGTGTGTGTGATAGTCACCTGTGTGTGTGTGGTGTGTGATAGTCACCTGTGTGTGTGTAGTGTGATAGTCACCTGTGTGTGTGTGTAGTGCGATAGTCACCTGTGTGTGTGTGTGATAGTCACCTGTGTGTGTAGTGTGTGTAGTGTGTGTGATAGTCACCTGTGTGTGTGTCTGGTGTGATAGTCACCTGTGTGTGTAGTGTGATAGTCACCTGTGTGTGTGGTGTGATAGTCACCTGTGTGTGTGTGTGGTGTGATAGTCACCTGTGTGTGTATAGTGTGTGATAGTCACCTGTGTGTGTGTGTGTAGTGTGTGATAGTCACCTGTGTGTGTGTGTAGTGTGATAGTCACCTGTGTGTGTGTGGTGTGTGATAGTCACCTGTGTGTGTAGTGTGTGATAGTCACCTGTGTGTGTGTGTAGTGTGATAGTCACCTGTGTGTGTGTGTAGTGCGATAGTCACCTGTGTGTGTGTGTGTGATAGTCACCTGTGTGTGTGTGTCTGGTGTGATAGTCACCTGTGTGTGTAGTGTGTGATAGTCACCAGTGTGTGTGTAGTGTGATAGTCACCTGTGTGTGTGTGGTGTGATAGTCACCTGTGTGTGTGTGATAGTCACCTGTGTGTGGGTGATAGTCACCTGTGTTTGTGCTGTGATAGTCACCTGTGTGTGTGTGTGATAGTCACCTGTGTTTGTGCTGTGATAGTCACCTGTGTGTGTGTGTGTGTGATAGTCACCTGTGTGTGTGTAGTGTGATAGTCACCTGTGTGTGTGATAGTCACCTGTGTGTGTGTGTGTAGTGTGATAGTCACCTGTGTGTGTGTAGTGTGATAGTCACCTGTGTGTGTGTGTAATAGTCACCTGTGTGTGTGTAGTGTGATAGTCACCTGTGTGTGTGTGTGATACTCACCTGTGTGTGTGTGTAGTGTGATAGTCACCTGTGTGTGTGTAGTGTGATAGTCACCTGTGTGTGTGTGTGTGATAGTCAGCTGTGTGTGTGTGTGTGGTGTGATAGTCACCTGTGTGTGTGTGGTGTGATAGTCACCTGTGTGTGTGGTGTGATAGTCACCTGTGTGTGTGTGTGATAGTCACCTGTGTGTGTGTGATAGTCACCTGTGTGTGTGTGATAGTCACCTGTGTGTGTGTGTAATGTGATAGTCACCTGTGTGTGTGTGTGTGGTGTGAGAGTCACCTGTGTGTGTGTGTGTGATAGTCACCTGTGTGTGTGTGTGCTGCGATAGTCACCTGTGTGTGTGTGTGTGATAGTCACCTGTGTGTGTGTGATAGTCACCTGTGTGTGTGTGATAGTCACCTGTGTGTGTGTGATAGTCACCTGTTTGTGTGTGTAGTGTGATAGTCACCTGTGTGTGTGTCTGGTGTGATAGTCACCTGTGTGTGTGTGTGATAGTCACCTGTGTGTGTGTGGTGTGATAGTCACCTGTGTGTGTGTGATAGTCACCTGTGTGTGTGTGTGTGTGTGATAGTCACCTGTGTGTGTGGTGTGATAGTCACCTGCGTGTGTGTGTGTGTGTGTGATAGTCACCTGTGTGTGTGGTGTGATAGTCACCTGCGTGTGTGTGTGTGTGATAGTCACCTGTGTGTGTGTATGATAGTCACCTGTGTGTGTGTAGTGTGATAGTCACCTGTGTGTGTGTGATAGTCACCTGTGTGTGTGTGATAGTCACCTGTGTGTGTGTGTGATAGTCACCTGTGTGTGTGTGATAGTCACCTGTTTGTGTGTGTAGTGTGATAGTCACCTGTGCGTGTGTCTGGTGTGATAGTCACCTGTGTGTGTGATAGTCACCTGTGTGTGTGGTGTGTGATAGTCACCTGTGTGTGTGTGTGCTGTGATTGTCATCTGTGTGTGTGTAGTGTGATAGTCACCTGTGTGTGTGTGTGTGTGTGATAGTCACCTGTGTGTGTGTCTGGTGTGATAGTCACCTGTGTGTGGTGTGATAGTCACCTGTGTGTGTGGTGTGATAGTCACCTGTGTGTGTGTGTAGTGTGATAGTCACCTGTGTGTGTGTGTGTGATAGTCACCTGTGTGTGTGATAGTCACCTGTGTGTGTGTGATAGTCACCTGTGTGTGTGTGATAGTCACCTGTGTGTGTGTGTGTGTGTAGTGTGATAGTCACGTGTGTGTGTGTGCTATGATAGTCACCTCTGTGTGTGTGTGATAGTCACCTGTGTGTGTGTAGTGTGATAGTCACCTGTGTGTGTGTGTCTGGTGTGATAGTCACCTGTGTGTGGTGTGATAGTCACCTGTGTGTGTGTGGTGTGATAGTCACCTGTGTGTGTGTAGTGTGATAGTCACCTGCGTGTGTGTAGTGTGATAGTCACCTGTGTGTGTGTGTGTGTGATAGTCACCTGTTGTGCTGTGATTAGTCACCTGTGTGTGTGGTGATAGTCACCTGTGTCGTGTGTGTGATAGTCACCTGTGTGTGTGTGTGATAGTCACCTGTGTGCGTGGTGATAGTCACCCTGTTTGTGTGTGTAGTGTGATAGTCACCTGTGTGTTGTCTGTGTGATAGTCACCTGTGTGTGTGATAGTCACCTGTGTGTGTGCGTGTTGTGCTAGTCACCTGTGTGTGTGTGTGCTGTGATTGTCATCTGTGTGTGTGTAGTGTGATAGTCACCTGTGTGTGTGTGTGTGTGATAGTCACCTGTGTGTGTGTGTGTGTGATAGTCACCTGTGTGTGTGTCTGGTGTGATAGTCACCTGTGTGTGGTGATAGTCACCTGTGTGTGTGGTGTGATAGTCACCTGTGTGTGTGTGTAGTGTGATAGTCACCTGTGTGTGTGTGTGTGATAGTCACCTGTGTGTGTGATAGTCACCTGTGTGTGTGTGATAGTCACCTGTGTGTGTGATAGTCACCTGTGTGTGTGTGTGTGTGTAGTGTGATAGTCACGTGTGTGTGTGTGCTATGATAGTCACCTCTGTGTGTGTGTGATAGTCACCTTTGTGTGTGTAGTGTGATAGTCACTTGTGTGTGTGTGTCTGGTGTGA